CTTCCTTTCTTTGCCAAACTATTCCGCACTGTTAGTCATAAATTTGGTCTTACCACCTAATCTATAAAGCTGATCGGATAATTTACGTCTGACTTTACGAGGTCCACGGGTTGCACATAGATTGCTGTTAAGTAATTATCTTCACCGCTTTCACGAGCTTAACTCAAGTAATGAGCATTGGATAAAACCGTATCCCCTGCATATGTTCCCAATTCCTGTGACCCAATGATTGGTTCTGAACGGCTCATTGAAACAGGAAAGTTTATATCATGCCACGACTATTGAAATAAAGTGCCATCACACGGGACATATAAAGGGTCCGCCAGGATTCAAACTCGTACCCTACTAGTCGTGAGTCCGGCAAATTAACTACTGAGCCACAGCAACACCTTTTTAGGAATCATAGGTGAAAAGCAGACAAAACTAAATGTCTAGAATGTTAGATTTTACATGTAATGCAAAGTACTCCTTGCACTTGTATTTCCTTTCTGTATTTTTTATTTATTCCATTGCATACTATTTTGAAGATATAGGTAGTGTGGTCAGGGAGATATATATTCTTATTTACCCAGTTATGGATGGTTTCTGATGCCTAAAGATGATCGACCTAAGTATTATAGTCCGGATCGTGCCAATAGAAAAAGTATGAAATTTATGGATGGGATGATTAGAGATCTCAGCAGAGATACAGAATATAACATCACGAGTCCCCAACTGGACAACAAAACAAAATTGTACAAGACCAGTTGTAAGATGCACATCTACTACAACTAAATTAATTCAAAGTTTTTAAAATGCCATTAATAGTTCTGTTTACCTAGATACGGAAAATTTGCATCAATAAGTGAGTGAGCGTTTCGAACTTAATTGGCAAGTATAACTGCATGACCTGATCTAGCTGTTGGCGATCCTCCAGAGTCGGCGTAGCCTGTTGGATGGAGTCGACTTGTAAATTGACACACTGCTCCCTCTGGTCTTCGATCTTCGTCCAGGCGTGGATTCTTTATTCCACCAGGGAACCTTACTATTCAGTTTGGAATCTTTCTATCCGACGTTCCGACATTTTGATGTTCTGACGTGGGAGTTATTTTCCTGATAAGTATAATAAATGCAGCCTAGCATTTTGCTTTGCATAACTCCCTGGAATGAACTAACATTCCATCTTTCGTTCTCTTTACAGTTTAACCAAACAGAAGCTAACTGCTAACATGGTTTCAGGTCACTGTCTTTGCATTCCATATCGTAATTTGTTTACATCCCACTTCATTACATAGTAAAGGAGCAAATGTATTCCTTCAATACATACAGCCAATATTACTAATTGATCGACAGCACAGTCTGTTCTTGCCTAAAATGAAATTGGCTCCTGCAGTGTGTGCTATTAGTCACTATCAGGACTAATGTCAGACACACGTACGCATACAGTCAACAATAGATAGTCGTATTGTCCCTACTGTTACTACGAAGCTAATATGACGGAATCAGAGATTAAGAGAATTCATACCTTAATTAAACAAATGAATTAAACACGATTTGTTTCTTGTCTTAACTACATCATTTGCTAACAATTGAATGGCAGAAATATCCCACAAAACTAATACTAATCAATTGCTAAAATGCTTGATTAATATGACATCTAAAACATAATTAAAGAATTATCTTAAAACTCACATTAAAGAAACTAATGTAGTAAATTAAGACACTACCTTGCTATCGTTTCCTCTATTACAGAAACGTCCCTTTAAGAGAGCCATCTCCTTTTTACCCATTGGTTAAATATCTCAAAGACTTTTGACTACACGTCCCTTTGAAACTTTTAAAGAAAATACTTGCTACTCATCTTGTAGCTAAAACGTCGCCTCTTGCAAAATGTAGACTAATTTTGTGGGGTAAGACATTATTTATATGTGCATTTGCTAGGTATACAAATACAACAATAGACATATAACTGACACTAGTCCTGGGTTCGATCTCGAGCATCATGGGATCCACTCCCTGTAACCATATACACAATTGCTGGCCATGAAACGACGAACTCAGATATGCAGCTGAAATCGGCTTCCAGGTCTATTTCTACTCTTTGAGACTTTACCCAGGGGCACATTTATTTGGAGGTGGGGTTTCTGCAAAGATGAGGAACATTGGAATGTGTTTTACAAGCAGTCACTTCAGTTTTAGTACTCAGCATAATTTCTGAATCATAGATTTGGATAAAGAAAAAGGGGTTTCCTATCGACGAGCTGACGCTACTCAAATTAAACAATGTGCGGAAGCAGAAAAACAAAGATTATTTCTTTTTGAAACCGAGTTTACAAGACCAGTTCCATCTATACTCCAAAATGCAGCATAAAATACGAGTGGAACAGCTGCTAAATTATATGCTTGGCGCCATATTAAATTTACCTATCCAGATAATCATTATGCAAGGATTCTATTATATAAAGAAGACTTAACGAAGACTCGTTTCTATTTTAAATGTGGTTTGCCAGTCTTAACATACGCCAAAGAGTCTCAAATCACAGATAATTTTGCATCCATTTTAATTTTTATTAATCTTCATGATTCGTTCGTGTTAGACCTATGCATAAGTGTTTTGGTAACAAAGAACAAAATGCATTATACTCTTTTCATATAAGCACTTCAGGAAAACCCAGAATTTGACTTGAGAAGGTTTGGGACCTGTTTTCTATTCACGCTTGCAAGGTAGGTTGACATTAGCACTACTGGCATGATTGCAGGAAGCTCAGGGTCTGCCTGACTTGTCAGACTGATATTCAGGTCCAGTTTACGTAATTGATATATCCATAGCTTTCTACCTGTATGAGGAACTAATTGTACAGTTTTTAAACGTACCGTGATGGATACATACATACATACATACATACATACATACATACATACATACATACATACATACATACATACATACATACATACATACATACATACATACATACATACATACATACATACATACATACATACATACATGCATGCATGCATGCATGCATGCATGCATGCATGCATGCATGCATGCATGCATGCATGCATACATACATACATACATAATACTTGGTCCTGGCTTTATTTCATTTAGAAACATTGCATTACCTTTCCCTGGCATGAAACCCAAATTGACAACTCGGTCAGACTACTAATATGGATTTTAATCTACCTAGAAGTCAAAACGTCGAATCGCTAAATAGACTTCTGATTCAGTTACTTGAAGGAATCCTGAAAGTAAATTTCAATTAATGTTTTAATTAAAAGGTACATCATGGGTCAGGTTAGTTCATTGGCCAGATTACCACAGCGATTTTGTAACCTGGCAACGGGATTTCTTACGTTGCGAGAAACACGCAGGAAATATGAATCTGGGTTAGGGAACAAAGAAATGTAAAATTCCAGTATGCAATTAATTTTTTATCACCATCCAGCGAGGTTTCGCGACATTCACGTAGTAACCTGAAGTATAGGTTTTCTTGATGTAAACATATATGTGTCTTACAAAAATCAGACTTTATTACGAAGATGTTCATTGCATATGTAAAGATTGACCATTGTTGTTGGGTTTTTTTTGCCACCTATCCATATGAAATTGAACGTTTGTACTTACATCTACCGTACTCAAGAATATGATCTACCGTATGTGTACTCATGAATATGATCTGCCGTATGTGTACTCATGAATATGATTTTTTTTGGTCCACATTGGTTTACCAACATTACTTCATAAATATTCAACAGACTTGACAAATATCCTTTCTGAAAACGAAAGCAACATTCTTAATACCCTATTTTTTAATTATACATTTTTCTGTTGCTTTTTAAGGGGGGGGGGCGAAGTGTTGGGTGTTGATGGTGTTGAAGTACTCCGTATAATGCATAATGTGTTCTGAAGCCAAGTGTGTGCCTTTTTCAGCAACTAATGTCACATTTTGAAAATGAAGAAACGCATTTCCGTCATAACGATGGAAAGACGGTTGTTACAATTTTCCTCATTCAACTAATGTATTTAATAAACTATATATATACCCAGTCACTTTTCTAGCCTTCATCACATGATGAAACGCTGTCTCAAAAAAGAAAATGGTTTCTATAGTACCGTGTATATTAATTTTGGCCTGAATCTAACAACATATAACGTAGACATTGATCTGCAGTGGCAAAAATATTGGGTCTGTATGGTGCTGGTTCCTCTGATTAATCATAACAAACATATTGAAGGCGCGTGATGCGACGGCATGCCTGGGTCTGTGAAGTTGGTTATTGGATTCGCGAGAATATACTATGCGTATTAATATGGCTTACAATGTCTCGCGATCTGGTAATTCTATATCTGAAGGTTGTCTCAGCTAAAATTAAAACGTAATCAACATGGCTATGAAAGTAAAGACATTGACATATAAGGACATGCAGATGAAGAAGCTAGCATACAAGGACATGAAAGTAAAAGCATTAACATAAAGGGCATGAAAGCAGAGTAATCATATACAAGGGTAGAAAAGTAAAGGCACTTTCAAACAAATGCACGTAAGTAGACATTTAAAGGCATGAAAGTGGAGACTACCATACAAGGGCACTCAAATGAAGATATTAACATATAAGGGCATGAAAGTAAAGACACTACCATACAAGGGCACTCAAATGAAGATATTAACACATAAGGGTATGAAAGTAGACACTAACATACAAGGGCACTAAAATCAAGACATTAACATATAAGGGCATGGAAGTAAAGTGTGTGTGTGCGTGTCTGTGTGTGTGGTTTGGATTTTTAACGAAGCTTTAGCAATATTTCAGTCATATCACTACGATGTCTGCTGTGTGGTAATTTATAGCGATGTCTAGCACTGGGGCATCATGCAGCAAGCATGTAGTATGATGTCCCGCCCAGTTACTTCATCCTGATACCTGGTTGACCAATCATAAAACTAACCTCTTAATGCTGAGCACCAAGCAATCGCAGCTGTTAGTACTATTTTTATAAGTCTTTGGTAAGAGTCGGCCGGGGTTCGAACCCGCGACAACCCGCATCCGAGGCGGACACTTTAACCTCTAGGCCACCGGATCGGTCTGAAAGTAAAGTCACTAAAAACAAGGGCATTAAAATGAATAGATTAACATAAATTAGGGACATTTTTAGGCATTAAAGTAAAAGCAGTGCCATACATGGGCATGAAACTGAAGTAATTAACATACAAGGGAAAGATTGTAAAGACAGAGCCATACACATGCATTTAAATGAATACATTAACATCCATGGTCTTCAAAGTAAACATATTAACATAAAAGATATGGAAAGATAACATTGTTCAATATATCATTTTGGCGCCAGTTATTGAAATGGCGACTACAACGAATGTAGCTTTGATCGATCAGATGGATCTTTTGGCACTTTATATAAGCGTCAATTCAGAATGAATATATTTTTACTAGAAGATTCAGTTCAAGTGGAAATATTTCGATGGCTCTTTTCGTATTTGTTTTGATACCATGATGCTTATAAGTTTAAATATTACATTATTTTCACCATTTTTTATGCTTTGGAAAATGTACTAAAATGTCTCATTCAAGCAAAGTTGGTTGAGTCATTTTTTAAATATGCTTTCAATTCAGGAAGTAATAAAAATAATCGGAAGTTAAGATTAGCTACGACATTCTCTTACTTTTCTTTCCATAATATATTTAATATTAAAAGCATCAGAAAAAAATGCAAAGCGATTTGGACTAGGCACTGCAAAGTGTTCGCATCACGATCCAGATAACTCAGGAAAGAGTTATCACTGAAGAGTCATACATAAGATCAGTCTGTCCTAACAAGTATATTATGTCCAGAAAGAACATGTTGCAAAAGGGACTTGTTAAATAGTACCCATATTTACAAATTATATTCCAAGGTCATACAAGCTGACTTAGCTCAGAACTGACGACATAGATTTGATACATTTACAAAGAGACAAACAGCTCTGTACCATTTCCGTTAAAAAAACGCTTATGGTATCTGTCGATTTGCTATCGTATTCTGGATATTATTCCTAATCCGACCAGCTCTCGTGGAACACGAATGTATTTTAAAGAGTGACAAAATAATTCAAAACTCCCGGCCCGATTAATTTTTTTATTTTCATTACTTGTACAGTCTGATATATTGCATGATCATCATTGAATCAAAGCAAAACATTCTTAGTAAAAAAAATGTGCTAGCACGTGTTTTTGTTTTCTTCAAATCCTTAAATTGCCAATGCCTAATGGATCTTTTCCATTGTCGAATACTTAGTCTCGGAGGTTCGCAAATTTTGCATGTAGTTTGCAGTCTCATAATGTCTAAATAATGATCAATTTTGTTTTGGCGTTTAACACCGTTTCTAAGCATAGGATAGATTATAAATGGCCAGTCTTTCCATAAATATAACATACGTAAGCATGGATAGAATATCGATAAATATTGATTAAATATTGTGATAACGAAATGTCAACGTATGCTCCAGATGGGAATATAATTAGAAGCAGAATTTAGATTAATTAATTAAATGAATGTTTCTTGTATGCATTTCATTCTCAAAGCTTCTTATGAAAAAGGATATCGTCATATCGTAATTCAAGAGAAACTAGGGTTAATATGGGTTTCAAGATTATTGCCTGACACCTAACAAGCCCTAACACAGAAGATTAATATATATCCATAACTGTCTATTTAGCACCCTTAACAAAACTAGATACAATAAAAGTACACACCCTGTCTTGAACTATGAGTCATTTACTGTATTGTTCCATTTGTCTGTTAAAATAATTTACATCTTAAATATTTAAATAAATCAATGGAATTCACTTCTTGTCTTATCTACACGTTTTGCCAACTACCAATCCATCGTGTGACATACTAAAACCTAGGAAAAACTCATCTACATGATTCATATCAATGTAGACAAATAAGTTTACATATGTCTCACCAAATTCTTAGAATACATGATTCCTAAAATAAAAAGGACAATAAATTCAAGCAGTTACCGCCAAACTCAGCAGCAAGGAGAATTCATGTATTAATTGAAAACAAATATATAAAAAAGTAATTATAAATTAAAATCAGAGAACAAGTTGACAAATGCCTTGTGCTTTTCGAGACTAGCTCCCTTCTATCGTAACTGAATCTCTCAGTATCTTTTTGATTATGTGTCCCTCAAAACTTCCATATACTCGTTAATTAGAATATTTATTTAAAGTGAAGGGATGCTCGCTATATTCCCTCCGTGTCCAGACTTTCCTTTTCCGCAGAAAATCTCGGATTAATCTTGCCAAGGGGATATTTTGAATTTCGTCTGGGAAAAACAGCATCCTTATTTAGCTTAGCCAATTATGTTTAAGTTTATCCAAACTCTGAAAATCGAAACACGAATGCCCAGGTTTGAGTAACATCTCATTTTTTCATACTTTCTTAATAAATCAATTTCTGCAAAATGTCAACTTGTGACACTTATTTCAACGAGTACATAGTTGTCTCTGCATCATTTCAGCTCTGGCATATTTCCGATACTTAGATTCCAAATTCACCTTGCCTCATGTATCTGTCTGACCGTTATCACATGGACCCTAATTAAAAATCAATCGCCCAAAACCAAGGACATCCAAATAATATATTCTAGAACTTCACAATGGAGATTATGTTATATATGACACTTTAACCCACCAGGGTATCTAGGCTATTAAGGAAAATAAAAATACAGATACATTGTTTGAATTTAAGCAAGTTACCCATGGAGATACGTATATAAAGAGAGGTTTAAATTCAAAGGTACTGGATAGGATCAACTTTCTGATAAATTGGTAAGAACTGGGGTATCAATCCTTGTTGGTCGTATTTCAGATCTAATTAACAAAACTTTACAGTAACATATTTGGATGGTCTGGAGGAAGCTCTGGTAATTCGGATTTTCAAAAACAAATTCTCTTGAAAAGGTAACTATAGACCTACCATCATTATACCAATCATGTCCTGCTGTTTGATGGGTAGAATGCTCACAGATTATTGTTACCTGTTTATATTTTTATTTTATTAAATATGGCTCTTTATATAACAATGTCGATAGCAACCGATGTACATAAAAATAACTAAAGACGGAAACAAACCTGATTTGCGAGACATACAAACACAGTATAATACATAAATCCATTTGAACAGAACAGTCAGGGCATAACAAAACAAAAAAAGCGCATAACATTTTAAAAATGAATCTAGTATTTTGATTAATTAAAAACAAGTTAGGATATTTAGCAAAACAGCTGTAATTCATAAGAATTATAGGCAAAGCTCATAACTTAAGTTACACGCAGTAGCAGTAGCATCAGTTTAGGACTAAAACATACTGAGACACAGAATATGCCTTACTTGTGAAGAAAATAGCACAGATCGGGAATAAACTTATCTATAGGGTGAACTTTCGTCTGATTTGTGCTTAATTTTGAATCCATTGTTTGGTTTTTAATAAATGGAACAAAGATCAAAGTAACTCAAAGATTCCTTGATCAAAAACCATAACATATCACATTCAATCTATCGTATCACCAGACAAGAGATTCTTAAGGATTTTGATCCAAAATGACCTTTCAGCGAACTAAAAGCGGTCGTCTGCAATCAAACATGACGTCCCTGTTTTATACATTAAAACCGACCTATTTCATTTCCACTGGAGATGAAATTCCCGTATTGTGCCCAGACGCGTATGCAAGACGAGTACACTATGATCCTTTAATGTCACACCACGCCGTAATGCAAGTCTGTCTCTGTTGTAAACACGCGACCACTAGACAGTTTTGTTAAGTTAGAAACGTGCATGATATGGCGTGAAAGTAGCATCGTCAAAAGGTTTAAGGCGTGCTGGGATAATGTTCTTTAGGGGCGACTCTTATATAGACACTCAAGGGCAATATTATTTAGTCGCGCCCCATCTTTGTTACGAAGACAGTGATTTTGTCAGTTGCCATCCCGCCAACACTCCTAAATATGTCTTTATGAAGAATTGACCCCGCTAGAGTAAGGCGAAGGTGATAAAAAGCTAATGACGTGAATGGCCTACTCCCACCACATTCCACCCTTACGCTGACACTACATAAAAAAACTAGAAAACATTTTATAATAGTATTTAATATTTTTATATTTATTTTGATGGCATGTGATTTTGGCAATACTCTGGATTATATGTTATATCAATAGGATGTAATTTCGTTGATGCATATCGCTTATTACAAGTTATTCGTTAATTGACTGTAAGCAGATGCAATCCAAAAATTTAATAAGCATGCACCCTTAGAAATAAGTTGCACATATAGAACAGGTAAATTAGAAGAAATTATTTTTATAACTGTAGACAAATCGACAATTTATTGCATATGCTGGCTCATTTATTAATGCCCACTAAATTGCAATACAAGTTCGAGGATAATTCATAAACTAATACTTGACAAGGTACCGAAAATTAAAACAATAGTAAGTTTCTCTGTTCAAGAATTCAGACTTATATTTTCTCAGGGCTGTGTTTAAGTTAGTTCAAATTTCTGTTAAAGCAATTTGCCGACTGTAATCGGAGCTGAGTTTTATATTAAAAATTACTTATGTGAAGCTTCACTACTTGCTGCCATTATCAAAATTGAACTCACAGAGAAAATACAGTGCAAAAAAATGTATGCATTGTGTACATTCCTAGAACCTAATCAAGGACTCGCATGACACCAAAAGTACCTATACAACAAACTTTCGAATTCTCAATGTATCGATTTTTTTTTAAATTTATAAAATCAGTGCCATGGAGGCACTTTCTTTTCCTGCTGGGTTTTCAACAAATTTTACTCCAACCACAGTTCTTATCGTGTGATACATGGCTATATATCATCTCTGTGAGAGACCTTATAGTAATACAATACTAATTGAAAGCAGAACAATATTTGATGGAAGCGTTGCCATCTTGACACGTCAAGAAAAAGCGTGTAATTTTTCTAAATTCCTTCCATAATCGTGTTGCGAAATAATTGTCAATTTTGTTAAGTTGATTAAGCATTTCCTCAAACCAAATTATTGC